GCGATGGTTGGGTGTGGAGGGTGAGGGTGGGGTGTGGAGGGGCAGGGAGTAGGGTGTAGAGGGGCGGGTGGGTTGTGGGAGGGCCGGGGTGGGGTGTGGAGGGCGATGGTTGGAGTGTGGAGGGCGAGGGTAGGGTGTGGAGGGTGAGGGTGGGGTGTGTGGAGAGCAGGGTGGGGTGTGGAGGGCGGGTGGGGTGTGGAGGGCAGGGGTTAGGTGTGGAAAAGCAGGGGTGCGGTGTGGAGTGCAGTGGTTGGGTGTGTGGAGGGTGAGGGTTGGGTGTGGAGGCGAGGGGCTAAGTGTGGAGGGCGAGGAGGCTAGCTGTGGAGGTGAGGTGCGGTGTGGAGGTGAGGTGGGGTGTGGAGGCGATGCTTGGGTGGCGGAGGAGGGCGAGGGTGTTAGGTGTGGAAGGCGAGGATTGGGTGTGGAGGGCGAGGTGGGGTGTGTGGAGGGCGGGGAGGTGGGGTGTGGAGGGCAGGGTGCAGTGTGGAGGGCAGGGTGGGGTGTGGAGGGCACAGGGGTGGGGTGTGGAGGGCAGGGTGCGGTGTGGAGTGCGATGGTTGGGTGTGGAGGGTGAGGGTTGGGTGTGGAGGCTGGTGGGGTGTGGAGGGCGGGTGGGGTGTGGAGGGCAGGTGGGGTGTGGAGGCAGGTGGGGTGTGGAGGGCAGGTGGGGTGTGGAGGCAGGTGGGGTGTGGAGGGCAGGGGTGGGGTGTGGAGGCGGGGTTGGGTGTGGAGGGCAGTGGGTTGGGGGCGGGGTTGGATGGGGAGGGCGAGTGGGGTGTGGAGGGGGCGAGGGTTGGGAGTGTGGAGACAGGGTGCGGTGTGGAGTGCGATGGTTGGGTGTGGAGGGGTGGGGTTGGGTGTGGAGGGCGAGGCTGGGTGTGGAGAACGGGGTGCGGTGTGTGGAGGGCAGGGTGGGGTGTGAAGGGCGGGGTTGGGTGTGAAAGAGGGTGTGGTGTGGAGGCGGTAGGGTGTGGAGGGCGGGGTGGGGTGTGGGCGATGGTGGGGTGTGGAGAACAGATTGGGGTGTGGAGGGCAGGGGTGGGGTGTGGAGGCAGGGTGGGGTGTGGAGGGCAGGGTGGGGTGTGGAGGGTGGGGTGTGGAGAACAGGGGTGCGGTGTGGAGGGCGAGAGTTAATGATATGAGGCGATGGTTGGGTGTGGAGGGTGAGGTTGGTTGTGGAGGCAGGTGGGTGTGGAGGCTGATGATTAGGTGTGGAGGGTGAGGTTGGTTGTGGAGGCAGGGGTGGGGTGTGGAGGCAGGGGGTGGGGTGTGGAGGGCAGGTGGGGTGTGGAAGGCAGGGTGGGGTGTGGAGAGCAGGGGTGGGGTGTGGAGGGTGGGGTTGGGTGTGGAGGGCGATGGTTGGGTGTGGAGGGTGAGGGTTGGTTTGTGGGGGCGAGGGGTGGGGTGTGGAGGGCGAGGGGTGGGGTGTGGAGGGTGAGGGGTGGGGTGTGGAGGGTGAGGGTTGGGTGTGGAGGGTGGGGTTGGTTGTGGAGGGCGGGGTGGGGGTGTGGAGAGCGAGGGTGGGGTGTGGAGGGTGAGGTTGGGTGTGGAGGGCGATGGTTAGGTGTGGAGGGTGAGGGTTGGTTGTGGAGGGCGGGTGGGGTGTGGAAGGCGAGGGTGGGGTGTGGAGAGAGCAGGGGTGGGGTGTGGAGGGTGAGGTTGGGTGTGGAGGGGCGATGGTTGAGTGGAGGTGAGGGTTGGTTGTGGAGGGCGATGGTGGGGTGTGGAGGGCGAGGGTGGGGTGTGGAGACCGAGGGTGGGGGTGTGGAGGGTGAGGGTTGGGTGTGGAGGGCGATGTGGTTATGTATGGAGGGCGGGGTGGGGGTGTGTGGAGGGCGAGGTGGGGTGTGGAGGGCGGGATTGGGTGTGGAGGCAGGGAGGTGGGGTGTGGAGGCAGGGTGGGGTGTGGAGGCAGGGTGGGATGTGGAGGTGAGGTTGGTTGTGGGGGCAGGGCAGGGGTGTTGGAGGCGGGGTAGGGTGTGGAGGGCAGGGTAGGGGTGTGGAGGCAGGGGTGGGGTGTGAGCAGGGTGGGGTGTGGAGGGTGGGGTTGGGTGTGGAGGGGCGATGGTTGGGTGTGGAGGGCGATGGTGGGGTGTGGAGGCGTGGTTGGGTGTGGAGAACAGGGGTGGGGTGTGGAGGGCAGGGTAGGGGTGTAGAGGGCGGTGGGTTGTGGAGGCGGGGTGGGGTGTGGAGGGCGATGGTTGGGTGTGGAGGGGGGCGGGTAGGGTGTGGAGGGGGTGGGGTGGGGGGTGTGGAGGCAGGGGTGGGGTGTGGAGGGGGCGGGGTGGGGTGTGGGGCAGGGTAGGGGTGTAGAGGGCGAGGGTGGGTTGTGGAGGGCAGGGGTGGGGTGTGGAGGCGATGGTTGGGTGTGGAGGGTGAGGGTTGGTTGTGGAGGCTGAGGAGGTGTGGAGGGCCGAGGGGTGGGGTGTGGAGGGGCAGGGGTGGGGTGTGGAGGGCGGGGTGGGGTGTGGAGGGCGAGGATTGGGTGTGGAGGGCGAGGGTGGGGTGTGGAAGGCGAGGTGGGTTGTGGAGGCGAGGTGGGTGTGGAGGGCGAGGGTGTTAGAGGTGTGGAGGGCAGGTCGGGTGTGGAGGCAGGGGTGGGAGTGTGGAGGTGGGGTGTGGAGGGCAGGGAAGGGTGTGGAGGGGCGGGTGGGGTGTGGAGAGTGAGGGTGGGGTGTGGAGGGCAGGGGTGGGGTGTGGGGGGGCAGGGTAGGGTGTGGAGGGTGGGTTAGGGTGTGGAGAGCGAGGTGGGCTGTGGAGGGCAGAGTGTGGGTGTGGAGGCGAGGGTAGGTTGGCGGAGGGCAGGTAGGTTGTGAAGGCTGAGGGTGGGGTTGGGTGGAGGGGGCAAGGTGGGGTGTGGAGGGCAGGGGGCGTGGGAGGGAGGGTGGGGTGTGGAGGTGGGGTCGGGTGGCTGGAGGGCAAGGGTGGGGTGTGGAGGCAAGGGTGTGGTGTGGAGGGCGAGGGTGGGGTGTGGAGGTGGGGTGGGGTGTGGAGGACGAGGTGGGCCGAGGAGGGTGGGGTAGGGTGTGGAGGACGAGAGTGGGGCGAGGAGGGCGAGGGTGGGGTGTGGAGGGTGAGGGTGGGGTGTGGAAGGCGAGGGTGTGGTGTGGAGAGCGAGGGTTGAGTGTGGAGGCTGGGGGTGTCAAGGGGGATGATGGGGTGGGGTGTTGATGGCAAGGGTGGGGTGTGGGCCAGTCTATAGGGGGAGGCCATTGAGACAGTGTTGTACTGTTCATCGCCTCACACCCCAAAGTCACATTTTCAGTAGTATCCTCTAGGCCATGGGTTAGTTAAGACCTCGTCCCCATCCTCTCCCTCTTGAAGGGAACAGAACACCACACAATCAGTGACACGAGACTAAGTGTGCTAACCTAGGTTGTTATCCCTGTGGAAAAATCACGTGTGGAAGCCTGGTTGAGACGAGCAATCCAGGCTGGCCCATTGAACCCAAGTGGTTAATCAAGTCATGCTTACCAGTTCTCCGTGCCGAGACAACGGTCTACAGTGATGCGAGACTGTGTGTGGTAACCCATGGGTACCTTTTTGTTGTTATTCCCTGTGGATAGAAGTTCTTGTGCGGAAGCCTGGTTGCAACAAGAGCAATCCAGGCTGGCAGTAAATATATCACTTGATGAATTAAGGCTCTGTTAAGTCATACCCATAGTAGATTAATCACGTGTCCCCACGTTGAAAATTCCCTCTTTAGAAGATTAATTTTATTGCAGCATGAATGTGAGTGACTCATATATCCATGCAAATTGTAAATCATTTTATGAAAGCTTGCCAAATAAATGTAAGTGCAATTATCTGCCTGTATCTGTGATCCTATCTTATTATTACTAAAGGTAATGACTGATTAGTTATGACAAAATATAAACAATAACTTAGATGGATGTTGGAAATTAATGGAACTCATTTAATCATAATTTGTCAAGTACCTGTATAAAACATGGAATGTCGGGTGGTGGAGTGAACTTCTACGTAGATACACCATAATCTCCTGTAAATAACCAGTGTGAAGGTATCGAACTCTATGGTAAGAAACACAATACTGTATATTATTATCTTTATATAACATCCACACCTAAACTACCAAATCCATGACAATTATCAATATGTAACTCAATTTCAGAATGACCAATAATTTTAATGCAAAAATGTAAAAATATTCAAGAGAGCAACAAACTCGCTATTTCCTCCACTGTAAACAAAGTTAAACAGAGAAGCTTTGGCGAGCGAGTCAATCAGCTGTTGGGCACACAAAAACTGTACCCTGTACTGTATATATTATAAATATGTTAACTAAATTTTAGAATGATCAATAATTTTAATATAAAAAATGCAAAAATATTCAAGAGCACAACTTTCTTGATATTTACTCCACTGGAAACGAATGTAAGCATAGAACCAATTACTGTATTGGTGGACCAGCCGATCAGTTTTGTTTGTTAATGGAACTGAAAATTCTTATGGGAGCTAATTCGTTAACCAAAATTTTGTTAATTGGACCGTTCATTAATCGAGGAACCACTGTACAGTATTGAGATTTGGAACAAAATCGGTAGGTTATGATTATTTCTGAAACGGTAACCTAAGCCCTTATAGGAAAAAACAAATTTTTCTCAGAATTGAAATTTAATGTTTAACTACTTAAGTTAATCCATAATAACACATAAACATATCCCTCTGTTTTCTGAAGTTAACGAATATGTTGGCATCTCAGTTAATCTTCTCGTTATATAATACTCTCGTGTACTGTTTATGGTTGCTGATTGCACGAGTCACACAAGTAAATAAAATGCTCATTGGGTCTTTGAAGTGCTGACAATAAATCTATAAAAAAAATAAGTTTTGATCAATTAGTGATAAATAATTGTGGTTTCTGGACTTTTAACTTTAAAATCTAAACTGTACATTTTTGTCCATATTTTGTATGTCTATAGAGTATGTGCTGATTTCTAGTCACCCTGTATGAAGAAGGAAAAATAAAAGAAACCAAATTACAAATTGGTAAACTTTGTCCCAGTATGATTTATTCACTAGGTTTTCTGGTAAAAATTAATAAGTTTTCTAAAATTAAATTCTTGTAAAAATTACAATTCTTGTGAAAGAACCACAGTAATATTTTTGATGTGGATAGATGTACTGTACTGGGAGCTTGACCATCATGCCACAACCTTCTTTAACAACCATGGGATGATCTTATAATTGCACTTATCTCCCTGTTGTAACCACTGACTTTAAAAAAAGAGATAAATAAAGTAATGGCTGCCCTCTAACGTCTGCAGAAAGTATAATTAGTCTCCAGCACACTAACCTTGAACCTGGGGGAGTTTGGTGGGCATCCAAGTTTGTGAGAACGCCAATAAAATAACTATTCACATTATGAAAGACTTTTACTTAAGTGGAACAGATAACTGCATTTTGTAGGGAATCTTTCAAATAGCGATACAAGCATGAAAATTGACATGAATATTCTCTATAGGTCACTCTTCAAATATATCCGATTGGCCATTTGAAAATCCATAGCAACAGCCTATTTTTCAAGATGGCTACTGAATTCACCTGCCAAATTTTTATATATTTTTATATCAACGGATACACTTGGTCAACTTGAATGATGCTGGTGTTGATGTATACCTTTTCAACCATTCTGAATCAAATTTTCCGAGTATTAACCCTCTCAGATATCACCCTTTATGGTGCTCTGGCAATTTGGTGTGGCATGGGCTGGTTATTGTCGCATGGACACTTGTACATGGGGTGTAGGAGTATCTTTGTTTCAGTAGTCAGTTATATCCTCTGAATGAACTACTGGCATTGGTCCTCCAAGAAGTTGCAAGTGCACGGCAAAGGTCACACCCCGGTACACCGCATTGGCTTGTCGGCTAAACTAGGTGAAAGTAGCGTATAGAGCAGTGGTTCCCACACATGGTCCCGACTTAACAGGATAGCTGCAAGACCCAGGTGACTCCAACAACCGCATGAGCACTATGGAAGCCCAGCAACCATATGAGCTCCATGCGACCCCATGACTTCTATGTGACCCCGTGTAATGCATCTTGCAACCCCATTTGGGGTTGCGACCCCGCATTTGGGAAATGCTACTCTAGAAGGGAACATTTGCTTCTAAATCTCCCCTTTATGAGGATGATGGGGAGAGATGGGTGATGATCATCAGCCCCTTAATGTCAAAGGTAGGTGCACTGTGATGGATAAACCCCTAGAATTGGCTGGATGACAGGTGCCTGGCAGAGGGCATAAAGCTATAGACATTTCCAGAACAGTATAAACAGACTAACTGACTCAACATAAAAACAATATGTCAGTGTTGACACTTATCAATTACCCATGAAATATATCTCTTATCATCCTCTACTCTTGAAACCCCCTTTATTTCTCCCTCTACTCCTGAACCCTCTTCCTCTGTCTCCCCCCCGACCTCTACCCCGGCTTCTCCCTGCGTGATCTCTAAAGTTATGTTGATCCTGATGTCTGCTACCTCTATAGTCATCATTTGGACTCTCTCCTCTTCCTCTATGATTAATTCCTTTTTCTCTTCCACCTCTGTCTTTAAAGATTCCTCTTCCTCTGTTGTCTTTCCTTCTTTTAGTCTCAAGCTCAAGTTGGTCAATGGAATAGTCTTTTCTTTTCATCGAGTCTTTGTTTTGGTCTTCTTCATCTGAAACTATTTCTGCCTCCTCATCCTCAGAGTTTTCAACAGTAACTTTCTCAAAAACAAAATTGGCACCTAAGTCATCAATAGAGGCAGGCGGTACCTCCCCAGCTTTCACTCTATCTTCATGTTCCTCATATTCTTCATCACTTCCTTCTTCAATTCCTTCATCCTCTTCTTTATCAACTTTCTCTTTACTACTTGCTTCATCATTTTCTTCATCGGTCTCACTCTCAGAGTCGACTTCCATAATAGAATTTTTAACAGAAGCTTTAAGATCAGGATCATCCTCATCTTCGTCTTCCATTTCAGAGTCGTGTTTATCAGCAGTAGACTGTATAGTTTGCAAGAGCTCCACATTATCCATCACAGGTGGTAGGGTAAATCCTCTGTTAAAAGAAAAGGTATTATAAGTACAATAATAAAATATTTTTAAGCGGCGAAATTTGTTTTCCCTCTTAATAAATTTTTCTCACATTACTTGGGGGTGACCAAAATCTTATGATCCTGATTCAGCCTCTTTAAAAGGGACACAATATAGCCCCTTAATGAAGCTATGCTTACACATTTACAAATAGCCAAAAGAGTGCCAGTTAATATGCTACAATATCAAGCACAAACTCCAGCAAGATTGCACTCAGACCTGAAACAACATAGAAATACAGGCAACCCCTGTGATATGGAATCTGAGTTACGGAAATTCGCCCTTATGGAATTTTGAAATTATAACCCAAAAATTTGTGATACAAACATAAGACTTGCCCTTAAGGAATTTGAGTACATTTTTTAAATTTTCAAACATAACAGAAATTCACCAAGTTTATAAAATTAAATTCATGTGGATTCTTGGTGGTAGCTACAAGACTCTTAGAGTGCAGCTCATTTCCCCAGCAGTCACCACAACAATGGCACTGCTCAGTTTGAACTCTTTCCCCAGCTTGTGCTCAGCTATGCGTCTGTGTTTGGGACTGTACTCACTCTTACGGAATTATGGTTAATTTATTAAGATTTTTCAAAGAAAAAATTTTGATATAGAAAAAAATCACCTAAATTATAAATTTTATTTCGTGTGGATTCTGGTGGTAGCCATACGATGGCTCACCTCTCCAGCTACCAGCAGCCATCACAACAATGGCTCCACTCAGTTTGAATTCTTTCCCCAGTTAGTGTTCAGTTATGCATCTGTGTTACTGTATACCCTTATTCAAGATGAGTGGCAAAAGACCATCAAGTTCAATTTAAGGCAGTGGGGCTAAAAGATTCCATAAAGGAATTACATTGATATAAACGTAATGTTTTAAGGAGGTAACTCCCACTATCTCCAATCACACCATGTCACCTAACTAGCTCCTGGAGCACTCTACATTATTTCTGGTGAGTAAAATTCAAGTGTGTGCACTTATTTATTTTTATCTCTTTCGGGGAATGGCCCACCGGGCACAGGATATCGACCCAGAACGGGGCCTAGAGGGTGTAAAAATAAAAAGTAAAAAGAAATAAAAAAGAAAAAAGAAAAAGACCATAATAATCTACACCATGAAGATGCCAGAAAACCAGCTTTTTAAAGTGAGACAGATTGTAAGAGTACAGAAACACAGAAGAAGGCAGAGCATTCCACAATTTGGCTGAGTGAGGAAAGGAGGATGTACTATAACGAGTTATTCTAGTGTGACCGACAGCCACGGGGAAACTGTGGGCACAGCGGGCAAGACGTGTGTTACGAGCCGACGGCCTTGATGGCAGTACTACACAGGATGCCAAATCCACCGAACATTGCCCGTTAAAGTACCTGTAAAAGAGAGAGTGAAGCAACATTGCGGCAAAAAGAAAGGGAAGAAATATTTAATAATCAACTAAAGGAGGAGAGTTAATGAGACGAAATGCCTTTGATTCTACCCTATTTAACAGTTGGACAGAAGAAGAGCCACCCCAGATATGAGAGCAGTACTCCAAGTTAGGACGAATGAATCCCTTATATACTTGAAGCAACTGCTCAGGAGTGAAATAGCTATGGCATCTGTACAGCATTCCCAACTTTTGGGAGGCAGCTTTAGCAATGCCGTGAATGTGTGGCTTTCATGACATATTAGAGGAAATGGTGAGGCCTAGCATATCTATTTTAGAATTTGGTAGAATGATTGCATCCTAAAATGAGATTGGTGGGAGATCATCTAGAGTGTAATTGGTAAATACTGAGATATTTACAATTGAATTTAACCAAGTTTCTACCTCCCCATTCGGAGATGCTACACAGATCAGCATTGATAGATGAAATGATATTAGCTCTAGAAACAGATCTAGTTTGAGAGTTAGGGGGAAGGGAAAAATGTGAAGAAGAGTGAAAAGTAGAATCATCAGCATAAGAATGGATAGAAGTAGTCATAGCGTGAAGTAAATCATTGATAAAATGAAGGAAGAGAGTAGGTGAAAGAACAGAACCGTGTGGGACACCACTATTGGTAGAGAAAGAGCGAGAGGTCGAACCCTCTACAACAACTGCCATGGATTGGTTCTCAAGGAAGCTAGTAATTAAAGAATAAAGTGGGGGAGAGAGACCACAAGAGGGAATATTAGAAATGAAAGACTTGTGCCATATCCTGTCAAATGCTTTGGAGATATCGAGGGCCAGGACGAAAGTTTCCCCATAATCCCTAAGAGAGGATGACCAAAGATGGGTGCAGTAGGAGAGCAGATCACCAGTTTGGCTTTTGCCAAGCATCGCAACTTATATAATGGGAGTCATTGGGAAAAATGGTTTTGCGATACGAAAAGATTTTCAGGAACAGAACCCTTCCAGTTTATGTACCTACCTGCAACTTGTAAAACCAAGGACAAGAGATTGTGTCTCTCTTTACTCTCTAAAATAAGCTGGAGACAGCAAATGAATACAGTACAGGATAATTTAGACAAAATATAATGAAGATGGAAAACCAAAAGCATCACTAGACCAGAAAGGGGCCAAAAGCATAATATACCTTCAAAAATTGCCTCAACTGAGAAGAAAACAAATCTGATTTAACTTTTCTAGTCCTTGGAGTACATCTACTGCAGTATACCAGTAACCAGTCTGAGGCATTGATGAATAAAAATCATAGAGAACTGGTAATATCAAACAAGTACAGGACTACTACAGACAAGCCCCAGGTGAAGAAACAAAGAGAAAAACTGGATCCCCATCCATTAAGATGATACCAATTAATTCCAGACAAGTTAACTGCCCTCCTAGACCAAGTGTGAGAAGAAATACTTCCATAAAACTTTTTCTAAGGGATAGGAAATATTAGGAACTTTGCTTATCTAACCAAACAAGATACAGTATGGAGGACACCAACAGAGGATTCTGATGGCAAGGGAAGAATGTTTTTAAATTTCACTCTAGGAGACTAATAAAGTTTCATAACCCACTTATCTTTCTGTAAAAGATGATCATATTCTCTATAAAAAACACACAAAGATTTCAAGTAGCACGTGCACTGTAAATTGTATTTAGAAATGATTTTGTGTAAGAATGACACAATTAAGAGTAAAATTGAGAGAAGGAACAATATGTAGGAGGAAGACTGGAAAGCTAAGAAATACAGTACAATCAATGGATGGAATGTAAGGTTAGAGGCAAAGGAGAAACTCTAAGATATTATAATACAGTACTTAAGACAGTGAATCATTGACTTGGAACGAAGCAAAATGGTCTTTAACTGTCAAGAGTTACTAACATGTAGTTCATATACTGTTCTGTTGTCACATAAACGAAATCGTTCCATTCCCTGGTTCGGTAAGGAGAGTGAGGGCAGGGCAGTGTCTGTCCTGGGGGACACACACATGCCCTACAGCCCTGACCTCCTGGCATGGGTTATAGAATAAATTGTGATCATCAGAAAGTTTAAAATGATTATAGAAACTTAGTTATTTGAAAAATGCTTCGCCCCTCCACCGCCAGTGGCGGCAAGGAAGGGTGGATCAAGTGGATAGAGTGGAGGGACATATTATAATGCTTCTAATAGTGGCATTGTATGTCGTCATTGATCTTTGGCCAATGAAATACTAAATAATCGAAGAATGGAATGCAAAACAAGCAATACTCAGCCAATGAGAAATAGAGTATATGATGTAATGCATGAACATGTAGAGTGTGGCCACAATATTCAGCGCACTGGCTCATCGTCCTCGTGCAGCAGACCCATCGACACCTAGAGGGTCAATTATTGTTATTTAGTGTCAAACATTTTTCTTGTAATGGTCACACCCACCCACCCCCCAAAAAAAATTCTCAATGGATCTACGCGATTCATGCAGGTCGCCTAAAACGATGGAAAGAAAACCGAAAAGCCGGAAAAAAAAAAAAACGGAGAAATCACATTCCTTCAACCTACAGTTACCCGTGCTTACTCCCACATCATGTCCAATTCCACCTGTAAATATAGTGGACAGCCAAAATGCCTTCACACAGCCCTAGTATACCACTGCACTTATTTTTCCTTCACCAATTTTCTACTAATCAATCCATCACATTAATTCCTAAATCAATGGGGCAGAACAACTACATTAAGACTTAAAAGAAAAAAGGAGGTTAGTGCATAAGAAAAAGAACTAAGACAGCATTATTTATGCAATTTCTTAAAATCAGTGAGGTGGCAGCCCCAAAGAGAGAAGGGGTAGCTTAGTCGCAACACCTTGATCTAAACTGATTGTCAAAATTTTTATTGAATTGTAACTCACTTTGGATCCATTCCAAGAGAGATGGACGATGACATGTAGGTGAGAATTGTGGAGGACTGATATAGGGCTGACAGACGGCGAAGATGACGCTCAGTGTAAGGAAGAAGTCCCTCGAGTGTCTGCTGCCACCCGCCCAGCTCCTCCATCTCCTCAGGTAAAAGTGTCTTCAGCAACACATTAATGATGCTCTGTCACAACAAGAAAATTATATATGCTATGTGTCCATCTTTGAGGGAAACACCCTATCACACATTATTACCTTATACTGTAATTAGTCATATATGCTGAATGATAAATATTCAAATACAGTTTTACCCCGCTTAACGCGCTTTCACTTAACGCGTTTTCGCATATACGCGGTGCCTTGCCAAAGCTGAACTTTCACTTAACGCGGCATTTTTCATCATATACGCGGTGAGTGTCCGGCTCGAGAGCTATTTTTAGATTCGCACCACCCCCCACCCTGCCTGACTGCCTGTTTTAGCTCATAAAATTCATACAAATTACCCAGCCAGAATATAATTTACATTGCTGGAATTCTTATAATTTGGTGATCATTTTGAATATAAACAACATATATTTTGCATTAAACATACAATTTTTAGATAAAAATATTTCTCTAGGTAACTATGTTATCTTTTGTCCAAAATATATGACATTTATATTCAAAATATTCCTGGTCTTACAAGGAATCCAGCAATGTCAATTATATTATCCTAACTTTAGTTTGAGGTATTATTTATTAAAATTTAGTGGTTATCCCACACATCTCCTTGGGACGGTTGGTGGGGGGTGGGGGGGAGGGAGGGGACCGACCGACCGACCATCTGTTACCCCGTGAAGAATTATTTTTTTTTTTATTAACTGAAGATATTTGTTTTAGCTCATAAAATTCATACAAATTACCCGGTCAGAATATAATTTACATTGCTGGAATTCTTATAATTTGGTGATCATTTTGAATATAAACAACATATATTTTGCATTAAACATACAATTTTTAGATAAAAATTGTTCTCTAGGTAACTATGTTATCTTTTGTCCAAAATATATGACATTTATATTCAAAATATTCCTGGTCTTACAAGGAATCCAGCAATGTCAATTATATTATCCTAACTTTAATCTGAGGTATTATTTAATACTAAATGTTATAAACTCTGGAAGGGAGGATTGGTGGGGGGTGGGGGGAGGGTTGGGACTGACCACGCGGTTGGAAGAGGGGGAAGGCAAGGTGGGGTACTTTGATTGACAGATAGTGTCGAAGAATATTTTTTTTTTTTTATTAACTGAAGATATTTGTTTTAGCTCATAAAATTCATACAAATTATCCGGCCAGAATATAATTTACATTGCTGGAATTCTTACAATTTGCTGATCATTTTGAATATAAACATCATAGATTTTGCATTAGACATACAAATTTTTGATGTAAAGTTTATTCTGAGTAAATATGTTATCTTTTGTGAAAAATATATGACATTTATATTCAAAATATTCCTGGTCTTACAAGGAATCCAGCAATGTCAATTATATTATCCTAACTTTAGTTTGAGGAATTATTTATTACTATACCTGGTTTTCCCCCAAAAATTTCTCAGAGGGAAGAGCCAGTGAGTGTAGTGTGAGAAGAGGGGGAGGGAGTTGAGTCCATTATTTGAATGGACATTAACTTGGCGACTGTATTTCTCTATTTCTCTTAAGTATTAATTGTGTGCATGTACCATCATGAAATTAAGATGTTATTTTTACTACAACATAGTTATTTGTCGTCAAAAAGTGGAGTTTGGGGGTCGGGCTGGGTTCTATTGGAATTAATCCCATATGTTCTGTTATTCACTTAACGCGGTTTTCACTTAACGCGGTTTTCACTTAACGCGGGACCCTCTGGGTTCAATTGACCGCGTTAAGTGGGGTACAACTGTACCTGTAAAATTTTTAGTAGTCACTGATACCAAAAAATAGCAAACTTAAAACTTTCTGGTGACAATATGTACATGAGAACATTTTCCTTCTTACAAGAGTTGACAAGAATTTATGAGTAAAATTTTTTAAATACAACATTATGATTATATTGTACTATACTAAAATTGAATTAATTAAGTTATGCTGTACAGAAAACCCTGGTAAAGCTACACCTGTGAACTAAGTGTGTCATAAGTTTCCTAACAAGAATCTTTATTTTACAATCAGTTGCCTAACTCCCTGAAGCAGCTGGGCTTGGTGGAAAGTTTGAAAAGACAACTATCAGTAAAGGCTTTCCTTTTATTGAAGGCACTCCATGCACGCATGCACACACACACATATATAAATATATATACTCTTGTTGACTGCACAGTAAATGAAGGTTAGAGTTCTTTTTTTGTTTGTTAAATAACTGTTGCTGCTGTGCTCAATATAATGGCTGCCTTGCTGGTCTCTTGACATATTCTTGTGTGTTGAGCAACTATTTATTCCTATTTGTTCTATTTCTTTTAAGGTAATGAAGTAAGGCATGGCCATTTGACAAGATAAATGGCAAATTTTATGAATACATTTACAGAAAATATAAATAAATATGTTAAACATCCGTACCTGAGCCTCACGAGAGTTTTTTGTCTTGGTGTTCCATGATGAAGCAAATCCCAAAAGTGATGCTATCTGATCCTGACGGAGTCTACTGAGAACATTTGGCAGCTGGTCCGGGGATTCATCTAGTAATGCTTTCATAACTTTCAGAGCCCGAAAAGGTTGATTCAGACGCACTGCAATCCCAAAGGCTTTAGCCCACTTCTTATCTTTAATAAGGTTGGACAGAGTTTGTTCTTCAGCAGCAAGTCTGTGATAAAGAATTAGCAAATGTCATACCTGTATACATATGTATAATAAATCAAAGTTTCTAATTGAAGCAAAGTTTATAAACATCTTAAAAAATTATTAATAATTATTAATACTGTACAATGATGTTGGCTGCCAAATAATCTCACAATATGAATGACTTTTTTAAAGTAGCATATGAAAACATGATTAAACTTCTAAGATAGAACTGAATAATTTTAAAATATCCATCTTCCTAATTGCAAGAAATAATGTACCACACAAAAATTAGTTTTGAAGTGCTATCAATCTTTGGTTATAAAAAAAAATTATTTAAAGGCCTCAATGCAAACTTAAGCTACCCCCCCATTTAGCATTAGGGTATTGAATCATCAGGTGAAATAAATGGTGGTTCTAATCTTTATGAGATCCAATATGTGATACTGTACATATTAAGACATGATGGGAAATGAAATCTCATGTAAGAGGTGATTAAAAGGAGCATATTGATGACGTAAAGAAGAAGGGTGTTGTTATCTAAACCATCTTAATTACAACTTGAAGACTCTCCTGCGTATGCCAAATTATTTTCATTAAAATAATTATATTAATGATAACACTGCTTATGGTGCACATACCTGGCAGCCTCCTCTAGAGCCTGATCTATCTCTTCCTGTGTGACATCTTTCCACAGCACCAGTGTGGCGTCCTCTCCACCAGTCACGACCTTCCTCTCATCCTCAGACACTACCATTGCCCAGGCCTTGCCCTCGTGCTCATCAAATGTCTGTACACATTGGCGAGTCTTGACTGTCCATAACTTAAGAAGGCCATCTGACCCAGTGGAAAGGATCTGCTGTCCTTGTGACAACCACGACAGTTGCAGAACACTCACACTGTGACCCTCTAAAGTCTGTTGGAAAAATTACCTCATTATAATATGACTTTACAAGTTTAACAAAATGTAAAAAAAAACACAAAAAAAAATCATCATTACTGATTTCAAATTTTCTTTACAGATATTATTTGATGGTCACTCCGTAATTTGTTTAGGTTTTTTAATTACAAGTACATTTTGCTTCTACTGCATTTCTATACAAAAGTCTATAGCACTCCATATTCTTAAATAACACAAGACCATTAAATCTTTCCTTTAATTACAATGCATCCCTTCCATTAGTGTACTTTATGTAACATGGATTATTTAAGCTCTTCTATTCTATTACTTTTCCACCATACTTTTTCCTTGTTTATATTACTATGTGATTAACCTCCCTTAGCTAAACACAATCACATTTCTGTCACTATAAATACAGATTAAGAAATTATTACATCAGCAAGCACAACAGCAGGAAAAAGCTTACAAAAAGTGAGGGAAGTCTTTGATATATCTTAAATCATCCAAAATATTAAGAAGGTAAGTCCTGCACTGTAATATAAGTTCATTTACTTGTATCCTTAATGCACAAATATTAAAGTAAATTTTAGGTTTATTCTTTCCCTGAATTCCATATCTCTACTCTATATCACAAACTCTGTTATGCATCCTCAGTTTTGACTAAATTTCTTAACAATGAATACATAGGAATATAATAGAAAAGCATTACATACAATAAAAACATCTTGAGTATTCATTACACTGCAACAGTGAGGATCACAAACTTTACTTTGGCAGGAAAACTCTGAATTCAACCTTTATTTACAATTTAGAATCCGACCAGAAATCTAACTAAACAGAAGTTGTTATTAAGAGTGTAGAAGTACTGTACAGCATAAACTCAGACTTACAGCAGCATTACAAAAGTCTGATATAGTCCAGATTTTGATGGTGGCATCGGCAGAAGCTGTGGCCAAGACCTCATCCACAGGAGAGAACTGGACGCACCAAATTCCTCGACGATGACCACGCAGTATCCCCAGCAGTGACAAATTATCGCTGTCCCAAACCTGTGGATGAGTGACATAATAATAAAATTACTGTATAATATCTTGCAATAAGACACTGGCAATAAATATCCTACCTGATATTAAAAAAAAAAAAAAAAAATGCAAGTTCACATACTTCAGAGCCAAAATTTCTTATGACATTTCATGACCTTTTATTTTCTTTTCTATGATCTCTCTTCACAATGTTCTGGTATAGAAACTGGGAAATAATAACACCATCTGACTTAAGGCCCTATACAGTCAGCACCCACTTAATCCCTTCACTAACGGACACTACTTTTAGTGTTTTGTTACTAACCCCAGATGATTTTATTAAGCAGAGAGTGAGAGAGTTTCAGTGTGCCTAAGAGGTTGATAAACTATGCTCACTACTTTTAATATGTTATATGGTTAACGCTAGATGGTGTTGTTCAGTACATAGTCCCTCATACCTGATGTACAGTTGCTGTCACAAGTAATCATCCACTCCAACACTTAACCTCTGTGCCTGGTCAGGTCCTTTCTGCACGGTAAGTCATGTGGGGTGGAGAAGATGAATGGTCGACTTAGGGGAGGGCCATTTGTTGAGGGGGGAGGGGTATGGGAGGGTGGTATGTGATGCAAATTGGTCATTAGAGAGAAAGGGGATTGCAGAAAGAAAGGAAATTCATGAAAAAACGAAGGGAAGGATGGATGTAAGTCTTTTGTCACTATATTATCTTAGGTTTACATGCTTGAATGAGTATTTTATGATTATTATAATATACCATCCATTTCTTTATTTACAATTTTTTCAGGTTGTTATTTGAAACAACAGAAATAATATAAGTATAATAATGTTGATCAAGGAGAAATATTGAATACGAGGGTGGACATCACATTTATTTTTAATATTTACCAACACAGGTCACATAGAATCTCAATCACCCACCCAATGTCCTTCTTATCTGTCAATCATGGTTTCCCTGGCCTAAAATTATATAATTTATATAAATTAAGAGTTCAAATATGTTTTATTTACATTACACACCCAAAATTTGTCATTTTAATACTGTATATCAAATGCCAGCAAACCGTCAGAAATTCTCAGACTCTTCCCAGCGGGTCATCCAACATTTCAAAGTCTGCCAAGGCCCGGATACTCAAAACTCCTCCTAAGTTACACAATAGACGAGCTTGTAACCAACTTACAATATTCAAACTCACTCATTCCTCCCCAGAATCCCAAGTGAAGGCATAGATAACTGAGGGAAAGTTAAGTCTATATGATACCTCCTCGGATACCAGCCTTCCTGGTTGGTTGGTTGTTTGGGCTTTAGGCCTATCAACTGCCAGGGTCATTAAGACCATCAAAGTCAAGCCACATCCACAAACCTTAACACCCTCTTCAAGTATTAAGTATAATTCTAAGACCACATACTCTCTCATTACATATGTGGCACTTGACCTACATCCTCCTAACTTACCCAGATCCACCACCCCTAGCTCTCCCCCCATCCTCTTGTGACCCATCATGTAGAAAGACCTTGAGTTCGTGGGTATGGTAATAGGAGGGTCAATGATTACTTTTGACCACAACCGTACATGATGCAATTCCTGAAAACCTGTATGTTAAGAAGACATTAATTTCTCACCTTGGCAATTTTGTCCTGTGAAGCTGTAGCTATAAGTTTGTAATTGACAGAAACACATACACAATTGATATCTTTATCATGGGCTTTCTCTGTGTGCGTGGAAGAGAGGGCAGACACACTGCTAACAGAATTCCTTGAGTCTTCTATATCCTTTCCCAGAGTCCATTTCTTTATGCACATGTCTTTACTACCAGTCACCATAAAACCTGGAAGAGATGGATGTATTAAAGAGATGCACTTCACTTCTATATAAATTAAGAATCATTGTTTTACAGAAATAATTATCTTTAATATGCCTGGGCCTGATTTTTTATAACAAATGAATCTGGACAAAGGAAATACATACTCTAAGTACTTGTACTGCAAGTTTGGGATTTCAAAATTTGCAGAAACCAGTGTGCAATACAAGTGTCCCTCATTTTTCATAAGTTCACAAAAACAGATCTGCACATACACAATTTACTTTTTAACAATCAAACTTTGTTAAATACTGAGATAAGGTTTGACTGTAGTCAACAATAAAAATTTCTGCACTTTTAGAGTGTCATACAATATGACACACTGGACCAAGAATTCTGAACAACAATCATAAGTCATGGCATATGTTGGCAGCACTGCCATACTGTATAGAGTTGCAAGTTACTCTTTAGTTTGTGTTTACTATATGGTGTTTAAGTGAGTCTGTGCACACAATGTGTTTCAAGATAACAATACTGTAGAGCAGTAGGCATCATATAAATCGAATAATCGAATGTATATCCTAAAAAATGATTGATGCGCGTGTTCTCTGTGATGTCTTCATATCGACTAACGGCCACGACTGGAATATACGACTTTGACTCCTGCTGTTTTCTCTGGTGCTCTACTCTATGCATATTGAATCCATTCCATTTCAAACATATTCGTTACGTTCAAGGCAGCTCACTTCGGTGGCAATGTCTTTATTCTATGAATATTATTATCAGTTAACCTCCAGTTCTTATCATGTGTGGCATAATAAAGAGGTTTCATAAGCTCGTTTCATGACGTATTTGCTTCTTTACAGCAACTCAGTTCTCTATGTGTTATGTTGTATGGCCTTTTCCTTACTAATTTCTTTCATTTTCTTCCTGGATAAGGTCTTGTATCATTTCACTCTTAAAACTTACTTTATATGAAATATAGGTTATATTACAGTCGGGGCAAAATATATGACATTTATATTCAAAATATTCCTGGTCTTACAAGGAATCCAGCAATGTCAATTATATTATCCTAACTTTAGTTTGAGGTATTATTTATTAAAATTTAGTGGTTATCCCACACATCTCCTTGGGACGGTTGGTGGGGGTGGCGACCATCTGTTCCTGAAGATATTTGTTTTAGCTCATAAAATTCATACAAATTACCCGTCAGAATATAATTTACATTGCTGGAAATTTGTTCATTTTGCGACGTCCTTATATGACACAAAATATTCCTGGTCTTAAAAATTGTCAATTATATTTTCCTAATATTGTACTGGACTTACCAGAACTTTACTCTTGAATTACTCTGGGTAACAAACTTAGCCTTCCAAAAGTGACATACAATACAGTATAGTGTAATGTCACACAAACTGCATTTACATTATTAAATAAATATTTTAAGAAAGTCTAAGATGTTAATTACTCTATGTGATACTCCACATACTGTTAGTAATATACCAAAGTACAGTAAAAAAAAGAAAAAAAAAAAAAAGTTTTAAGATAAAGTCCAGAATGCGACGTCTAGCTTTATACCTACGTATGTATATGCCTTGCATTAACTCGCCAGGCCAACATACAGGCAATTAAGACATCTAATAATTACTTAAATACGTAATATTAGGAAGACATGTAGCTATCTGGCATTTAATCGCAATTCTCAAAACTCCCTCCTGCACCCTCCATCACACGCATTGCTATAGATATATTTTTTTATAAAATATATTACCTTATTTAATATTAAAATATATACTGTACTGTAGTCTTTAATGGGGGATACGGTACAGTGTTCTAATCAGATTTGATGAGAGCTAACAGGTACAAGAGATGACACCATGTGTAAACATGCAGGGGGGGGGGGTTGCTATTGCAACACTCACCAATTTTTTTTTATTCATTATAGTACTGATACATTATAAAAATAATGTCCAATAACTAGAATGATTAAAATCACTAAAATTAAACAAGCAAAAGATCACTAAATCAACGCTATACTACTGCCCGCGGGTTGCCCATGGCTATAACTATGGTCACAATTCAACCAACTACGTAAGCGATATCTGCGCACATGACTCGTGCACAATGAGACCCCACTGTACTGAGGATTTACCTGTACGTCACTGCATCTCATAATATCTGAAATTCCTATATGGAAACTCATTTACTAGAGTGCCAGATATTCTTAATGTGTGGGTGATACGATGTAGTGGAAAATTCTATAACATTGTATGGTTTCTGTATGGGTTTTGTATGTATTCCTGTTAATTTCTCTGTATTAATTATACGTGATATACAGAATACATTGTATTGGTTACACGATGCATCACACAATCAATAGTACAAACTTCACCAAAGGAGCATGAACTCAGTCAGTGATCGCTGAGAAGACCATCAGACCCCGGGCAGTGCCAAAATTTTTTTATTGACTGCACACACCTGAACACTGCACTTTATCCCTGGGTGTAAAGCACAAGTAAAACTCTCTCACGTATTGGAAGGATGCAACCAAAATGCACGTAGAGTTTGTTGTGTGCTGAAGACTGTTTTACTGTAATCATCCCTGAGCATTAAGGTGTCTTAGCCACCATATCTTACCTGTTCAGTGGTGAACCAATCAAACACCCTGGATAACTGCACAAGATTTTGAAGTCTGGTTAGTGAGTTATTTCTGCATGGAAGTGGAATATTATTGCTGTGTTTCTTGACCTCAGTTACAAGTCCTAACTCTTCTGTGAAAATACTCCAGATCAGCAAATACACCTAAAGAACCGACACCCTTATATCTGAATCATGTTCACGCTGCCAACACCACATCCTTAATGAAACCAATGGATCTAAGAGTACAATAATATCAATATTAAAATTTAATTACACGAGGGAGACATTATCCAAACTGCTTGAAGCTACTTATAGGCCAAACAAGCTGTCTATTTAGGAGTTCTGCAACAGTACATCCTCCATGCCAGTGCATATATCAAGAGTACATGGTACAATCTCTGGACCAGCACTATGAATGGAGTTTGGAGGGCCTTGTGGTTGGAGTGCAAACACAACTTCAAAGGCTTGGTGATGCCATCATTGGGCATGGCACAAATAATCATCCTTGGCCAAAGTGTAAGGTTTGAGGATTTAGAAGAAGCTAACGTGGTAGAACTGCTCAAGTTCTATGTGAAGGGATTAGCTCTAAGGGATTTGGTAGAATTGATGCAGCCAAGAGAATGGGAGTTGGCAGAACAAAAAGTTATTGTACAACAGAACAAGCTGACAACAAAGAGGTTGCTTTGTTACCTCACTCTCATTGATCAAAATATTCAGAAAGTGAAGTTAACAAATTGGGAAGATAAGAACATTATTTCTGATAACTGGGAACTTTAGAGAGAAAAACAACTCATGGCAAAACAGTCAAGCTTACCACTGTTTTTCAAATGATTGATTGTGGTAATAACATCCCAGGTGCTGCAACAGCTTAGGTCATCTGCCGCCGAATTAAACTAAAAGCTTAGAAGGCTAAAAACAAATAATGCAAGGCAAAAACACAAATAATAAATAGCACAGAACTTTCACAAAAACCTTTTAAACCTGCGCCAGTGTCCTGAGTGTGCTCTACACCAGAGGGAACCACCACATATATGCTCATCTTTTGAGGATTTCCACAATATCCTTGGCAATGTCTTCACATAGGTTTTGCAGGTCCATTCCTTGGACAGTCACATCTCATCGTAATAGATGCTTACAATAAGTGTCCAGAGGTAGAACCCATGCAGTCTACAATGGCACAGGCAACCATCCAGACACTCATGAAGAGACTTGCCAGTCACGGTTTAACTGAGAAGGCTGTTTCTGATAATGGTACCCAGTTCACAGAGGGTGAATTAGCAAAATTTCTGGATGAAAATGACATAAAATATAAATTTTTGGCACTATCATCCTGCAACAAATGGAGAGGCAGAACGTTTTGTGCAGACATTCAAGGAACCTATGAAATGCATGCAGGCAACACCAAGAAATGTGTCTGTGCATCAGTTGCTTTCTGCTCACCTACCGCACGCCTGCTCATGCTGCCACTGGACAACCTCCATCACTCTTTGTTGGGGAGAGGAGGATCCGGAAAGTGCTGGACCTCATGAGTCCTTCGCTTCAGTCCAACAAAACCCAGAAAGCTTGGCAGAACAAGTCACCTGCAAGTGTTCCACACTATTCACCTGATATGTCAGTCATGGTGTGAATGTACACCTCTGAAGTGGCAGCCCAGAAAGGTGACAAATCCAATAGGAGAACGAGCTCAATGGACAACCATAAAACATCATGTGGACCAACTTTGACCTTTTCCATATCAAAACTGGAACCGCTGCTGGTGAGGACAGCACCTCCCACAGTGACTACAGGCATATACGCCTGAACCCTCGCTACACCAAGATGACTAAAACACGGAGATCTTTGATTCTCCAATTATTTTGGCTCCACCCATGCCACCTTCACCTCAAAATGTGGGAGCTGATGAAGACCAGTTACCTGCCATGTGGGAGGCAGGGGTTGAGATATCATCATGTCAGGCACAAAATTTTATTTTCAATCCTACAAACCATTTTTCCTTCTATGATACGGGGATGACACACATATACTCATCTTCTGATTCTTATCTTTCAACAGCAAACTGGTTACTACATCCCTTTGGTAGGATGCTACTAAATGACGAGTTGTTCCACCATCAGAAAGTGCAACAGATGGTGTAAGTAATCACATCTATTGTGAAGTGCACAAGGGATAGTATAAAGACTGAACACAATTCTTCACTTCAGCCATTTTGAGAACTTATGTGGTTTTACTCTAATCAATATGAATGACTATCTCTGCATCACAGAAACAACCCCATTACTGATCATTTGGCAAAGACAGACAGAAAATAATCTGAGTTCCAATCGAGCCATCCACAATATCTAAGACTTCCCATACTATATAACAACCTATTCTAATGTATTATTGGGACTTCTGAAAGGCATAATGTGTTTACATGTGTCAACATAGTTAGTAATATGCTACATGCATCAAAATTTGAATCATTATATACTGTAGAAATGGAAATATATTTCAAGGTTTTTACCTCTGGCAAGTGTAACACAGCCTATACTGAGTGTGTGACCAATGGCTGAAGCTATACACACAACTGTCCCATCCTCTTTTAATCGCCATACACGAGCACTGTTGTCATGGGAGCTGAAATGAAATTAAATGATAAAATATTCAAATAAAAGTACCTTTCAGAGTTTATATTATAATTCAGAATGAACATTTAGACTTCCAGCTACAAAGATTAAGTTCACATTGTCATACACAGTGGAGAAGAGAACTTACCTCGAGGCAAATATCTCTGGCTGGGTTGGATGGCTAGCCAGTGACAGCACAAGAGCAGTGTGACCCGATATTAGATTACAGCTGAAGTTTTGACGGTTGTAAATGCGTAACTGTATACTGTTTGTGGCTACCACTAGATGACTCTCTCCTGCACCCACAAACACAGCAGCCAGAATTTGATCATTATAACCAGCAAGCTGAAATAAGGATTAGATTAACAATACAGGTACTGTATAATTATTGTAAACATTCTCTAAACACTTTGGTTACCTTACATGTATATCATCATAACCAATAAAATTGAAGTCCATGAAACTTGTGTATATATCTACAATCTAAATGATAATAGTATAAAAGTCTGTACTGTACCTGTTTCCAAATTTCCATAGAAGAAGTCTTTGCAAATACTATGGAATGATCATAAGTGGTCATAAGAATGGAATCAAGTGCCGGAGAATGAATCACTTGGTTAACCAATGTAACGCCATCTTTATCAGGAGGAGTCAATACTGGCGTGTCAGCCTTCCACACTTCCCGCCCAGTGTCCACTTGCCAAACTGCGGGGATTCCTGCAACAGTAAAGTAAAAACTAATTTATGTTTGCTAATAACCTGTGTATGGAGGAAGGTTCCTATAAATGTAGACACCCAGGATACATCAAAATACAGTATTGGGTCCCTAAGATAAGACCATTATGTCCATCCTCACCCAATTACAGATAACTGTGCATGCCAAAAAAATAAAACAAATTCTACACAATAAATGAATCCTCATCGTCCAGCATCCTTATTATCTCATAGTTTATTTCATTCCTGCAAACAAATACCTCACTTACCTGTACAGTATATTCCTACACCCTATCTTACTTCTACCTTTTTGTACCCCCAGTCTTGTCTCCCTATTATATCACCTGTATTGCACATATGAAGCACGCTGAGTGATAAGTAGACAGGTGACATAAGTATAACACATCTCGAGCTGCTTTGTCACTTGTCACCTGGATCATCTCATAAGGCAAACACCCAACTTATGTGAGTTTAATTTATAAGGTCTGTAGGAAATGCACAAAATAAACTTGGGGGATAAATATCTGAAAGAGGAGCTCTCCATTCTATATAATGTAAGTTGTGGGACTGTAAAGTATAACAATAGTCTAAGTGAATCATTAAAACATTATTGTGGGGAGGGATGTGTTCACTAAGTGCAGTACAGTAGTGTAAGATGTTAAATAATGTTATCTTTCATTTGAGACCTTTTAAGTAAGTGTTAATTTATTTATGAACAGTGAGATTTTTGAGTGATGAAAACATTTTTTTAAGATCCAGGAATATATTCGGCTATTTACCCTAAAAAGATAAATTTTATTTGTAAATATTCTGTACTGTACGTGTGCATTTTTTTTTAATTTTTAGAATATGAGTCACATTTAAATCAAAACTTTATGTTTGTGTGTCACTCAGTATAAATGGTCTAAGTCAGTCATCATATATGCCTTGAAGTTATTAGTCATCATATGTGAAGTTATGAATCATACTGGATATATATGCAATAAATTATTATAATTATAACATCAGATATCTGGCATCAATACACCAAGAACACACTGTTATGAATTTCTAGTTTTATACACAAGGTCAATCCCCTTACAACCCTTTGTTGAAGTTCAAGAGATATATTACATTTCAATATACAGTAGTGGTCCACAACTCTTAATTAAGTTAATTTCCTTACAGAAATCATACACATTATTTAATTACCTGTACAACAGTATAGGGTATTTACAAAAATATTCCATCTTCCCAGAACAATGTAGTTAGTGAAAATATAAGAAAATTAGGTGAAACAAACATACTAAGAGTGCTTTAAACAGGTGAGAAGTGAGCATTTATTAGGACAGAAAAGAGACCAAGTAAACTAGCTCAAATCTATTCCAATAGCCACATGTAACCTTACAACACTTTTTATATATTGTGTGCCTATTTAACCTTATTTTCAAATGTCACTTTTTCTACATTATTCTGGCAAGAATACTGTGTGTGATTTGTGTTAGGAAATTCTCCCCAGCACTTCTGTTGTCATTAAACTGAATCTTTATAATTCCTGAAACTTATTGTGTTGGACCACTGGTTTAGCCGAGGATTTACCAAGTGGCCAGGTCAATTTCTCTGTGGATCTTCAGTACATCATTAGTTTTCTTTCACTTAATTACTGTACTTGCTTTATTATTTATTCAGCCAAATACTAAACAGAATCTTAACTCCCATTTGAATGTAATTTCCTGCTTGTGATGTCAGATAAAACCTAGATGATCTACGGATGGTGGTACACACTGTTATATTTCATAACTACAGCAAAAGATATCTTTGTAAATTACAGTAAACTATAAAAAATGATAAGTAAATGTTCAGTATACAGTAGTATTTCATACATACAGCTATTTGTCCTGGGCTGCTGTTACATATTTTTGTATTACTAGTCCACAAAATCACAAAGCAAGCACTGTCGTAACTGAACACAACTAATAGTAATCTTCCCGTTAGCCAGAATAATTGGTGCAGAGTGATTCCGGGTTTGAGAGATTTCCATGTAGTATTGAGACAAATTTTCTTATCACTGGAATATTTCCGGCCACTGGTGAATATTTCCACATAGAACTGCAGTCAGACAGACACAGAGCTGTACAAGGTATATATTTCTGCAAACATTACTGCACTCATACAATACAGCGAAAATAAACAAAATATACTATGTATTTTATACACTACAGTGAACTCTCGAAGATTCGGACCCGGTAAATCCGGATTTTGGAGGATTTGAAAATTTTTTGGGGGGTTCCAGGGGCTAAGAAGCATCCCTAAGAAGCATTCCCATAACAGAGCAAAGATCGCCTTAGACCCGTGTAACTACAGTTGGCCCTTAACATACGCGGGGGTTAGGTAACAGAGATACCCATGAATGTTAAAAATCCATGTACTATTGCTGGCCCCCCCACCCCATGTCCTTATTTACCGTATATACCTGTGTGTAGTTTGAGTTTTTAAGATCAAATTATTTGGCAAAAAATTAGGGGTCGACCTCTAAACGGGTAATAGTTTCATTAGGTTGAAAAATATTTACCAGTAACTACCAGTAAACAATGGAAACGACGCACCAACACACCACCAGCTGTGAGTGTTGGTACAGTTGCCAGGGCAGATCTCTTGCGTCATCATAGCAAGCCCAAAGCAGCCAAATGCATGGTATGGTATGCACAGGACGATGTAAAACATAAAGTATTAATTTTTTAAATTTTATTTATAGATACTGTACATAAATTTCTGTTCATTACATTTGAAACATCAATCTTTGTTAATTAAATATGAAACAAAAGAAAACTACGATACCGTATTTTCATTAAAATATTACATCACAAGTATATTTTACCTTAACTGTGACTGAATGAATATACTCTCAGAAATAAATATGGAAATGTAATATTTTGGCTGAAATGACGTACATATTACAGTGGAAAGTGGGATAAAATCATGACGAAAACAATGACTTTCGCTTTCTTTCATTGTTCAAAAGATTTTACCGTTATCGCTTTTCGAATGGTTTTCAGTTAAAAAACTGTTGTACTGAATTACAATAATATTCTATCCTATCATTAGCCTCATAATCCCACAACTGAAAACCATTCGAAAAGCGATTACGGTAACATCTTTTGAACGAAAGAAAGCGAAAGTCATTGCTTTCGTCACAATTTTATCCCACTTTCCACTGTAATACGTACGTCATTTCAGCAAAAATATTACATTTCCATATTCTCAGAAATAAATACAGGTTGTACCTCTCTAGTCCGGCAACCTCAGGACCTGACCGGTGCCGGACCATGGAAATTTCCGGACCATGGAAATTCACCCTTTTCCTGGATAGATAATGAGTTGTGCTTATGCTTGGAAGCACTAGCACCACTTTCTCTGCTTCATGGTCTCTTTGAAGACATATTGAAGGGTTAAATGTCGTACAGTAGCTTCTCAAATTTCGCGAGTTTTTAATTCGACGTTTTTTATTTGAACACACCAAAAAACAAAACAATTTAAAATTTTGACAGCGGAAACTCGAATTTCGAGGTGTTTGAACGGCCCACCAACGTTCAGATGACGTGCACAATCAAGTAAACAGCGTCATTTCTCTTATGTACAAAAGATTCATTATTGTTTATTATTGAATGTCTTTTTTATTGAATTAATGTTTGTGTGTGCAAAATGAATACAATTCGTTAATAATACGTGGAATATTAACACAAAGAGACGAGACGGCTGCCGGCATTGTTTTTGTTAATGCTTACAAAACCAGTGACTGATTCTACATATAAAACTGAAGAAAATAAGACCCTGATTGTAGCTGTAGTAAAATTATGTAAAAAAATTAATATGCTTGTTTGAAGTAATGTTATTTAATGTAATAAATGGAACAATATAAGTAGCTAACCATCAATGGTAAAGAAAAAAAATTGAGACTGCGCGTATGTAAGTGCGCACATGTGAAAACATATCGTCATTACTCTACATAAGAATATGAAAGCAACACTTATTTACTGCTCATATATATTGAAGGGTTAAATGTTGTACTCTGTATAGACAAGCAGAGAGAGAGAGAGAGAGCAGCTGAACTGCCGGATGTAAACAAACCTTAATTTCCCGCGGCTTTGTTGTTGTTTTTTTTTATGGGGATTAGCCCACCCGGGCATAGGTCACTGACCCACATTGGGGCCTGAGGGGCAAAAATTTAATACTCCTGTAATAATAATAATAATGCTGAGAAGCAGAGGAAAAAAAAGGAAAAGAAAAAAGAAAGAAAAAAGGCTGCTTATCTACTTATTGGACAAACTAAAATCGTGCTGAACCACGGGAGTTTCCGGACCACAGAATGCCGGACTAGAGAGGTACAACCTGTAGTAGTTTTGTTGAAACGTAATGTACAGTATTTAATATTAAAATGCAAAAAGAGCTATAAAACAATTAATACTGTACACCCGTAATGTACTGGCTGGCATCTCCACTCGTCCCTGCTCCCGCCTCCAGCATCACCACTCCTCCCCGCTCTATCCCTCTGTCTCCTCCACATCGTCACTACTGTTGTATTACAATAATATTCTATCCTAATTCACTTGAATAAATACTACGATACCATATTTCTGAATATTTTCATTAAAATTCATCAAAATCATTTTCCTTGTCATCGTCTTCAGCACCAAGCAGCTCCTCCCAGTCTTCTCCTTGAACAGGGCTAGAGGGTACATGTTTTTCGAATCGTTTTCAGTTAAAAAACTGTTACATCACACGTATATTTTACCTAAACTGCGCCTGAATGAATATATTCTCGGAAATAAATAGTAGTTTTGCTGAAACGTGATGTATTTCAATGTAAAATAGGATAAAATACATGACAAAAACAAAAGACTTTACCTAACCTTCTGATGTTCAAGAGATGTTACTCGTTTTTTTAATAGTTTTTGGTTAAAATACTGTTATATTACAATGATATTCTATTCACACTGTGCTTGATATACTACATTCACGGAAATGTAATATTTTTGCTGAAATGACGTACATATTACAGTGGAAAGTGGGATAAAATCGTGACGAAAAAAATGACTTTCGCTTTCTTTCGTTCAAAAGATGTTACCGTAACCGCTTTTCGAATGGTTTTCAGTTAAAAAACTGTTGCATCACAAGTGAATTAGGATAGAATATTATTGTAATACAATAGTTTTTTAACTGAAAACCATTCGAAAAGCGATTATGGTAACATCTTATGAACGAAAGAAAGCGAAAGTCATTGCTTTCATCACTTTCCACTGTAATACGTACGTCATTTCAGCAAAAAATATTACATTTCCATATTCTCAGAAATAAATAGTAATTTTGCTGAAAAGTAATGTATTTCAATGTAAATTAGGATAAACTACATAAAAACAAAAGACTTTACCTAACCTTCCGATGTTCAGGATATGTTACTCGTTTTTTTAATAGTTTTCGGTTAAAATACTGTTATATTAGTGATATTCTATTCATACTGTGTTTGATATAATACATTCACGGAAATGTAATATTTTTGCAACTACAATTCTGATGTCAACACAAGCGTGGTTACAGCGAGACTGACTGAGTGAGGGAGCGCGGGGTGGGGTGACGACGCGCTATGTGTGTGTGTGTGTGAGGTAGCAGGAGCGGGCGGTGTGCAGTGTTCGGTGCCGTGCGTGATTTGAATGTACTTCAATTACTTCAATGTACAGAATATTCCTCCGGCGGGGCAATCCGCGTATTTGCCAATCCGTGAATGCTAAACCCGCGTATGTGAAGGGCCGACTGTAATATGTCAGCGAGTGAGACACAGGTGCCCGAGGCGGGAAACATAAACAGAGTTGTCAATTGTTGTTTGTGGGAATTTTATTTCATTCACTCTAGTAATGAAAAATGTTTCTTGTTATAATAGGTAAATACTTGGTTTATATAATTTGTTTATCACCGTTTTCATATTAGACTACAAGATATGTATTTCTCCCATACATATTTTGATCGTACACTTGGCAACGCGAGTGAGTGACCAATAGTTAGAGTTGCCTGGATTTACTGTCACTATTAGTGTCACTATTAGTGTTTATTGATATAAATAGTGCTTAAGAGTGATTAATCATGGCATTGTAGCCAGGTTAGATACATCACTGTAACCACCAGGCTACTGGGCCAAGCTGTGAGGTGTTATGGTTGGGGCACTGGGAAAAGTTTTGGGGGAATTTTCCGGAAACTACGCATTATTTCACCATCAGAATTAGCTCCCAGACCGTGAAATAAATTTGGAGAGTTTCTGAATTTTTCTCAGAATTTTCCAGAATGATGCATTATTTCAACCTTGAAACTTGCTCCCAGACCCGGAAAAAAAATTGAAGTTTCTGGAATTTTCCAGAATTTACACATTAATTCATCCTCAGAAAGTGCTCCCAGAGGCGGAAAATAAAATTCAGAGAGAGTTTACGGAATTCTTCTTGGAATTTTCTGAAAATGCGCCTGATTTTCAACCTTGGCAAATCGTTCCCAAACCCAAACTTGAGAGAAATTTTTTCCAGAAAAATCCAAAGCAAATTTCAATTCCGATTACTATAGGAGAATTCTGGCCAATGAAGATATTACTGTACTGTACATACACCCTCTACACACAAGCCTACAGTAGGTATGCACTGCCCACTCTGCTTTGTACAGTACTGTACATACGGTACTTTCACACTTATGGAATATACAGTAGAGGGGGTCCCCAGGTTACGAACGAGTTCCGTTCCTGGGGACTTTCTTAAGTCGTAACACATACCCCATGTGCACTATATCATAGCCTAAGTCCTTTTATACATGCCAAATCACTTAAATTAAGAGAAAAGAAGAAATTTAATGACAAAATACAGTAAAGGAAAAATTAAAGTTTAACACTTTCATTGAAACCTTGGGTCTGGCTGATCTTCCACCCGTATCACTAACAATCATTCCAATTCAATTAACAATCCACTTTTTTGTTTGTTATCACAGTTGAGTTCATTGGTGTAGATCCTTTTACATGTTCAAGATTTTGTATTTGTCTTTCAAATTTGTTTCAACAGTTGACCAACTGAAGCCCAACCCTTTACCAATGACTGAGGGTGTTTCGCCCTTTTCTGAACGTTTAATTACATCAACTTTCACTTCCATCATAATTGTTTTCCTTTTCTTGGATGCACTACTATCACTTGTATCAGGTTTGCGCTTTGGAGCCATGATGAGAGCAGAAAAAAAAGGCGTTAATAAGCGTAAAAAGCAGTTTGCACTTGATCACACATGTTACTGAGGTGAGGGTAAGGCTTACTGACTCTCCCTCAAGGCGTGTGGCTGGGTGACGCATTACTCCCCACCCACCGCTAAGCCACTGAAACTAGTTCTCAGACATTAATACTACGAACCAGTTGTACCTATGTCGGATTCTTAAAATAATTGATATTGCACCTTGCTCATATCGGCAGGCGTTCGCAAGTCGGATATTCGTAACTTGGGGACTCCCTGTACAGTATATTATGCAACTGTAATCACTTTTCATGTCTTAACACTACATTAACCCTCTCATGCATTATGAAGCAAATCACTTCAAATCATTGGGTAGCACCATTTGCATTGCTGACATAAATTGCGTCAATCATTAACCTAAAAAATTTGCCAAAATGGAAGTTCCGAAGATAAATGCATTAAATTTTTGTGCGTCACAAATGAATGCATGATCTTGTGAGGGAAGCTTCCAGAAAGTACCAATGTGTGGGTGGAATTTTGCTGTCCATCAGTTTCCTCAGTCAGCCACACTGGCAGGCCACATGTCTCTTTATTTCTTCTCCCATTCTCCCCACAATTAGTCACATTGCAATGCATATAAAATTTTGCCTATAGTAATATCTCTGTTAGCCGGAATCCCTCAAACCTGGAACTCTCCGATAGCCGAAATTAAAATTTTCTCGGAAAATCACGGCTTTTGGAACTACAGTGGTCCCTTGATTAACGAACGGTTCAATTAACGAAATTTCGGTTAACGAATAAACTCCAATAAGGATTTTCAGTTCCATTTACGAACAAAACTTCAATTAACGACAGCCTTACGAGAAACACGCTTTGTTGTGCGCATCAGCTGATCGGCTGGTCTGCCAATACTGTACAGTAATTGGTTCTATGTTTAGATTCGTTTCCAGTGGAGTAAATATCAAGAAAGTTGTGCTCTTGAATATTTTTGCATTTTTTATATTAAAATTACTGGTCATTCTGAAATTTAGTTAACATACTGATAATATATACAGTACAGGGAACAGTTTTGTGTGCCCTTCAGCTGATCGAATCACCCACCAACACTTCTCAGTTTAACTTTGTTTACAGTGAAGTGAACATTGAGTTTGTTGGTCTCTTGAATATTTTTGCATTTTTACATTAAAATTATTGGTCATTCTGAAATTTAGCTAACATATTGATAATATACAGAGCAGAAATTTTTATGAAACATGAAGAAGGCATTAGAACCAATGCACTCTGTAAAGAATATGGCATGTCATCATCGACTGCCTCTACAATCAGCTGTTTGATTTGTAAACAAAGCTGCCGGGAATACGACATACACACCTCAAAGTAAGTTAAAATACAGTATTTTATTGTTTTTATTTATTATTGTGCAGTATACTCTACAGTACAGTACAGTACCCAATATTCCATTGAAATAATATTCAGTTAAGAAAATTTTCAGTTAACAACCGACTCTGTGGAACCAATTGTGTTCGTTAATCGAGGGACCACTGTACTTTCCGGAAAATTCTGAGAAAATTTTCCCGATACTCAGAAAATTCCAGGGATGGGGGGAGTTTTTTCCGGGTTTGAGAGATTATGGAATGTGCAATTTCTGGAACTTCAGAGAACATTTTTCCGTTACCCGGAAATTTTGGGGGATAAGGGATATTTTTCCGGCTTTGAAAGAGTCGTCTCGTTACCCGGAAATCTCCCATTCCCGGAAGTGCTCTGCACCAATTGTTCCGGCTAATGGGGATATCACTGTATAAATATATAATATCTTGGTAGGTTTGTGAGAAAATATCTGAGACATGATGCTATAAACAAATAATTTTATTTTCTTTATTTGGAGTGAAAAAATATACAGTACAGTGTTGTCTATTCGTGTTTCAATATTTTTTTCTGTTTATGTTAAAGCCAAGACAATAACAAATCATGCCAAAATATATATATTTTTTGTACGATAAATTGTCCGAGAACAAAGATGACCAGACCTCACGTGAATGGTCCCATATGACTTTTGTTGTGGTCACAGAAACTTAAAAACTTATTGTGTGTGCAAATGGGTTAACACTGCTTTAATAGTTCTCTTGGTTGATTATATCCTGGCACAGTAATGTACAGTACTGCACAACACAGATTGTATGCAAAAACAGCAGTAAGCAAGTGAACAAGCTTGTACAATGGCAGCAGACAATGAACTAAGATGACATGATACTAGAGCTTGGGGAGATAGGCTGCGAGATACATCAGCCAATCACAGGCATCCCATGCAGTCACGTGACAGTAGTAGCCAATTGTAGCTCACGAGCACTCTGAACTTACCCACCCATGTGCCCAGCACATAATGCAATCGGAAATTTGTTCAAATGCCCGGAAGAGAGAGTTCCCGGAATGCTCCAAAAACTTTTTTCCAGGTAATGGAAGGCTTCGAAGATCAAAGATTGCGGCTAACAGAGATATTACTAATTACTTAAATCAAGTGTGGTGTGGTGATATTGTACCTTCACACTGATGAAGCCTTTGCTGTCTAGATGTTCTGAATTGATTTTTTTTCTTTTTATTTTTGCATGTTTTTTACTCCCTAACAACTGGTTTCCGGACATCTTAAATTCTACTGCAAATTTATAAAGGAACAATACTGTACTTTTAAGTCACTTTTTATATAAACATGTACAGTACTCTGGATTAGTCTTTCTGAGAATAACTTCTTGATGCTACTAACCTCTGTCCCCAACAACAAGAGCATAGATGTGGTCGTCCTCTGCCTGAGCCCCAGGGAACACAATCCCTGGTTGCTGCAGCACCAAACCTGAGAGAGACTCAAATACAGGTACAACTTTCTTACTGGTCATTGTCGCCAGTTCCCACAGAATGATGACACGGTCCAAACCACAGCTGAAACATTAATTAAGATACTTCAGTTAATCATATCAGCAGTAGTGTGCTGCAATGTGGGCTTGTAAAAAAGAAGTCAGTAATTCCTTCCCTTATCTTATAAAAAATATATGAACTACAGTACTGCAGGGATAACATTAATATTGTTCCTTTTCACAGTGATGCATGATAGTTATCACTTTATATAGTACCAATAAACCTGAGAGGAAAAAACTAATTTAACAAGATTGTAAATTACTTTTTAACATACAAAAGATTTTATTTTCTGCTGATTAAATAATCTTACAAGTGTCACTGAAAATAAGATATTAGAGGCCATGGTTTACCTTAAGTAATTACAAAATTAACACATTATTTAAACTGCACAGATTGTTCTTCACTTGACAATGTCATAGACCAGGTCAACCACCAAAGTTATCATTAACTTATCTGCATTACTGAAATTGAAAATGTTTATAATTCATACCTGACAAGGTGTGTGTTATCTTGTGTGACCTCCAAGGAAGTGACAGCAGAGTGGTGACCTTTAAGAGAAGCATCAAGCTGTGAAGAGCCAGCCCCCAGAGTCCACACATAGATGGTATTAGCTGCTGCACCATACACTCGGGGACGTTTGACCAGCTCAGAGTCAAATATTGCTGCACTGTTGAATAAAAATTATTTAATGCTGAGTTCTATATTCATATTCTCATTGTAGTTTTACTCATGCTGGTTACTGCTTCTAAGTCATTAATACCACAAACCTAACAGAGTGACCTCACCATCACTGTCATCACAAAAGTAAAATCATATGTTATTGTTGCATGTGATAACATTCAACATTTACTATTGAAATTATTTTTGTCTATTATGAGTTCCATCTTTAATAACATATTCAACTCAAGCAAATTTGAAGTACAGTAAAATAATTCCCAGTTTAAATGCAGCATTTTTGTTTTACTAATGTATTTGCATCACTATTGAGTATACAGTACAGTTCAGACACTCACTGCGTTGCGGACTTCCGACTTCACGGATACTTTCCCACAAGTGCGAATTAAAATGAGTGCAAAGTAATTCCTGGGTCAAGTGGGGATATTTCCAACCATACCCCACCTGTGAGCTCTATGTTGTGTTATGGTTATTTTTTAACTCGTAAATTGGGGTAAATATACTGTACAGTGACCCCTCGGTTAACAAACTCAATCCGTTCCAGAAGGTCGTTCGTTAACCGAAAAGTTCGTAAACCGAAATCATTGTTTCAATGGGTTTTTGGGTAATTGGTTCCAGCTCACCGAAAATTTCCTAAATTCAACAAAAATGGTAGAAAAGTTCACTTACTTTGAGGTGTGTATTTTGAAGGCTCCTGGATGATGATGATGATGATGGGATTTAGAATGGGGGTGGAGGAGAAGGAAAAAGAGAGGCATTGGGGTGGAAGAGAAGTCACCCCATGGCGCCATTTCACCCATAAAATTTTAGCTCTCTTGGTGTAATTCAAGATTATTTTCTTTAAATCAACACTGCACTGCATTATATATTGTCAATATGTAAAATATATTTCAAAATGACCAATAATTTGCTTGGAAACACAGAAAAAAGCATTTAGTTGAAGAGAGTCTCAAGCAAGATGTTACCTCCAGTGAAAACAGAGAGACACTAATGCCTGTTTGCTGTGTTAAGAGGCTGGATGCCGCGCATTAAACTAGTCACTTTACCTTCAATTATGTTCAATAATTGTTAAAATGACTAAAAAACTGAATATTATACTTTTAAAATTATTGAATAGTATAAACTTCTTGATATTTACTAAAATAGTAAGGAATTTAAGCCCTAGAACCGATTAATGTATTGGCGGACTGATACTAAAGCTGGTTGCCCGGTCAGTGCAAGCGAAAACATGTTGAGGTCGGTTCGTAAGAAATTCGTTAACCGAATTGAAGATCCTTATGGAAGGTAGTTCATTAACCGAAATTTCGTTAACCGAGGCGTTCGTTAAACGAGGGGTCACTGTACAGTACTATGTAATTTTCTTCATTTTTTTTTATATACAAACTACATCTTACACACAGATACATGTAGTGACATTCCCATTAGCCAGAACAATTGGTGCAGAGCTCTTCCAGGGATGAGAGATTTCTTGGTAACGAGGCAACTCTCTCAAACCCTCCATGGAACCTACGAATCATTGACAGGCAGGAAGGCTAGCTGTGTGGACCTCGGGTATCAGGAGATTTGTTATTAGGAAAAACTGTTTTGTGTTACAGAGAGATTTTCAGGAAAGGAAACCTACTGTAACCCAGGGATGCCTGTAGTAATATCTCCATTAGCCGGAATCCCTCTTAACTGGAACTCTCCGATAGCCGGAATTGAAATTTTCTTGGAAAATTGTTCCCAAAGCCCAAATTTTCCGTAAAATTAAGGCTTTCGGAACAATTTTCTGAGAGGCAAATTGTCTGTAAAATTTTGAGAAAAATTTCCCGTTACATTGAAAATTCAAGATAATTCCAAGGACAAGATTTTTTTACCTCGAGTTTGCGAGATGAAAATCAGGTGCATTTACCAAAAATTTTGAGGACGAGGATTTCTTTCGGGGTTCGAGTGATGATGTAATGTGCAATTTCTGGAACTTCCGGGAACAATTTTCCAGGTACTCAGAAAATTCTGGGGATGAATATTTTTTTCCGGCTTTGAGAGAGTCGTCTCGTTACTCAGAAATCTCCCATTCCCGGAAGTGCTCTGCATCAATTGTTCCAGTTAACAGGGATATCACTATTTTAACTCGTAATTTTGGGTAGCTATTCATAATTTTTTTACTCAGTTATACACACACACACAATCCTACATAAAGAAAGTGCAAAAATAAATCAAATAACTAATTACCATAGGGTATAAAGATTTACCCACAGTGAAGCTGTATGGTGAGAGTGTGTGTGTGGAGGTTGGAGGTTCCATAGCATAACACCTTTGCTAGGGAGACTACTGTGATGCTGGGCGCGCAACTGCAACGCAATTTGAACACTAACTTGTATCATTTTTGCTCTCTTTATGCCTTCATTAATGCTATTTATATGTTTTTGTCATGGATGTTTATATGCCTACAGTGTTACTTTAATGTTACAGTGTACAGTTAAAGCTTCTTTTAGGGGTGAATCTAGTTATTTGAACAGTCTTCACAGCAGCCACTTACAGAAGGTTCGCTATACATTTTGTGCATTTCACGCCTGATGCCACAAATTTAAGAGAAAACCCTATTTGGCAACCCCCAGGTCCAAAGCATACCAGATAAATGGTCCCATGCCTGTGTATGTTCAATGATCATCTATGGAAAGGTCACTTCCGGCTTACAGATAGCCTTCAGGAACAGAACCCATCCGTAGTCTGAGTAGTGTCTGTATACCATACCTTTCAATGTTGGCCCTTAGCATTACGGTATATAGTTTGCAAAAAATAGATAAAAACAATGATATGAAGTTTCTTGAAGACAAAAATATTAGAATGCATAATAAGTGCTATAATCAGACTCCACAATATCTACAGTACTATTTACAAACCACAACACTATCAATGGACAAGTTGACGGTTATGGGTAAACACAAGAAATACACTCTGCCACGTTCGTAGAGTGATACTGTGTATATAATTTGTATTAAAAGTTTAAAGTCCTGCTATTATAGTAGAGATAAGTTTATTTCTCTAGAAACAGGACCGCCATTTACAATGGCGTCACTAGTTTCAAACACCGCTGGGCTGCGGTCGTAGGTAGTAGAAAGGATGGCCTCTTCAGACCCCAAATACCACGTTCAGGTAAGTTTTAAGGGTGTTTTTTATGGCCAAGTTATGGACATTTCATAAGTGAAGAAATGTGCCACGAAGAGCAGCTTCAAACATAGGTTGGCTGGGTATATGAGCGATAGAGGTTGGGTGTAAATGGAACTGCCCAGTATGGCCCGCTGCAGTTTCCTTTATTCTTATGTTCTTTTGCACCTAAAAAACTCCCATGTACACACTAGCTCAGCTGTCATGTACTCTTACTTGGTAGACTTTCTAATTTTTTTTTTCAGTGCATTTACAGAGTATGTCAGTGCTAGATGGAGATACGAGTAAATTTAGAAGTGATGACATTCTCTGGACTTTGTTTTGAGTATGCCTGATGCAAGGTTAACATGACAACATAGTGATGTTATTGTTTTGATGATTCACTAATGAACCACTGGGATATATCATCATTATATTAATTACCGGGTAATGGGTAAAATTTTACTATATCTACCATAAGTGTTTCGATGTTTAGATTCGAGACAGGCTATATTGGGTTAATTTTAAGTGTTGGTCATCCCTGTACTTAGATATGCAGACTATGTTTTTTCTGATGGTTTGCGATGTGTTATGAACGATTTAGACCTTCATTTCTATCGGAAATCACTAGTTTTTAGTTACTACACCCCCCCCCCCTTACCGATGTACGTTAAGCTAACCCTGTAACTCATCATACCCGAACCTAACCTAACATCTGTATTTTCTTATTCGATCGAAAAATGTTTTGCGACAGAAATCCTGTAGAGATAATGTCCTATTGTTTAAAGTACTTAGTCCCATAGTTAGAATCTTAAGTTTACCCAGATGACCAAAACCAAAATAACATCAATATTGTTTGGAATGTATAGGTATAAAGCCACTCCTCAACTTACGACGGGGTTAGGAACACAAGTCCAGGTCGTAAGTCGAATTGATTGTAAGTCGAAAATGCGAAGATAATACATAGAAAATCTAAAATGGGTGTCTCTTTTTCTTCTCAGCACCACAAAACTCTCACTCTTTAGCTTGCCAGACATTTTAAAGGGAATTACAAACGAAAATTTTGTCAGTAAACAGCGCAATCACTAACGTCGGGACTCGAAAATACGTAATTTGAAAAAATTTGGTACGACTGGGGCGGTCGTATGTCTGGGTGGTCGTAAGTCGAGTAGGTTGTAAGTTGAGGAGTAGCTGTACTATGAAAATTGTAGTATGGGCAGCTAATATCCATTGAATTAGTTAATGTGCTTAGTATTATTTATATATTTAAAATAGTATTACTGTGTTGCACAGTAAAGCACAATTAATTATCTAATAATATTTATTTACCGAGCCGATCAGTCGAGAAGGTTGGACAACTACAGCTGGTTGCCTCCCGCTGGAAAGTTCACCCCAACCAGTGACGTCATAACCAATCATAGAGCTTTTCGCATTCACATAACTTTTTAGCAATTTTAACCCTTATTTTTGACACCTTTTGGCCCAATTTATTTTAAAATAACATTACCATAGTGAATTTAAGCGTCCATTGTGAAGATACAAAACAGTGTGATACTGTACTGTACAGTGAACCTGGCGTGGATTTATGATGATGGTCCAGAGGTAAAAAGATGAACTTTGGAACACAAATATATGATAAAACAATGCTCATACACACACCTCTGTGAACAAATTTCATGACCAATTATACACTTTCTCACTAAAATTTGTTATAAACATAATACTAAAATAAAAACATTGTGAAGACTGCTGATATATATACTGTACAGTATATTGAATAGACACACGGCATTTTCTTTCTTCTTTTTTTTTACAGGATAAGCCCACCAGAACACAGGTTAAAGACCCACATCAGGACCTGAGTACGAAAATATAATAATAATAATAATAATAATAATAATAATAATAATAATAAAGGACCATAAAAAAAAGGAAGATCAATAGTGAGAAACAATATACCGGGTATGTATGTTGTGTTGTCCAAGTAAGAGAAACAATTGAGACCCTGCAATTGTAAGTAGTAGGTAGTAAGCAGCTACCAAACAGGGAGGTACTACTGCCTGGGAAGATATTGGAAGCCATATGGCATCACGAAAATTGTGACCAAGTCCCAGGTTGATGATCTGACTTTCTGCTTCATTTACACGCAATTGCAGGGTCTCAATTGTTTCTCTTACCATTGACAACACAACATACATATATCGTTTCTCACTTTTGATCTTTTTTTTCATTTTTGTATTTATAGTTCTTTATTATTAATATTATTATTATTACAGTTATTGTATTATTATCATCATTATTTTATTATTTAATTTTTGTTTGTTTTATCATAAATTTTATTTATTATGAATTATTATGACTATTATTTATTTTTATTTTTATTATTATTATTATTATTATTATTATTATTATTATTATTATTATTATTATTATTACATTTTCGCCCCCCAGGCCCCGATGTGGGTCAGTGACCTGTGTCCGGGTGGGCTAATCCCTATGATATAAAAAAAAAAAAAAAAAAAGGTGTGTAAATGAGGCAGAAAGTCAGATCAGCAACCTGGGACTTGGTCACAAAATTCCCTGTTTGGTAGCTGCCTACGACTGGGATGTAGAAGATAAGGACATTACTTATGAGCTATAATGAAAAGCTATTTACTTCTGCATCAAAACACAATTTCTGAGGTATGTAAGAAAATGTGAGGTCCAGAAAGTACAGTATTGTACATGTACAAACCAACATAATAAGTTGTGAACTGTACACTTACCCAAACACCCCAGATGCTCCCTTGAGACTGTGTGTACAGTATTTCTGATGAATGTCCCATACTCGGGCAGAGGAGTCGGCTGCCCCCGTGATGAGCAAAGTCGATGTTGTGTCCCAGTTCATTACGGTCACCGGACCTCGATGATAGGATCTGAAACTCCGCAATAATTCCAGACCTAAAACAGTAAGAGTTAGTTCCCAAGCAATCATGACCCAAAACTCTTCCAGTCAATAAAAGTAATTAGATAAAGGTTACATTTTTTTTACATCTACTTATATGACAATATATATATATATATATATATATATATATATATATATATATATATATATATATATATATATATATATATATATATATATATATATATATATATATATATATATATATATATATATATATATATATATATATATATATATATATATATATATATATATATATATATATATATATATATATATATATATATATATATATATATATATATATATATATATATATATATATATATATATATATATATATATATATATATATATATATATATATATATATATATATATATATATATATATATATTAAAAAAATTTCAGGTAGAAACTGAAGATTAAGCTTCAGCTGTTAATTCAAAAGTTTAGTTTGGATTTCACATGAAACAAAAGATGATTACTAACTTGGCCATTGGTACTGTTGAATGGAACTTGACTTGAGTGCTACAACAATAGACGAATTATCTGGGGCAAGGGATATGGACATAACTTGATCTTCTTCACATCGAATCCGACCTGTGACTTGACCTGAGGTGAGGGAGACCACCCCCACGCTATCCCCACACTCACATAACAAGGCTTCACCATCTTTCGTTACCTAATAAAGTACAGTATTGGGAATATCAATGAACATAACACTGTACTGTACAGTGAAAATATCTGGTAAAAAATTGAGGGTAATATAGTACAATACTGTACCTACAACACCTTAAGTTGGGGTCCTAAACAACTCACTAGAGACTAATGTTGTACAGAAAAATATCTTTTTTACCTTTAGAAAACCACAAATCAAGAGCAGGAATTGTAATAAATGGTTTTCTAAATGTAAGAAAGAAGTTTTTCAATACACTATTATTTGAAAATGGGTGACTTTGGTGAGCAACTAGTTAAGTACAGTACAGTATTACTAAACTGTGTAGTATTAGGTCTTAGTGCTGACTCTTCTTCAGTACTTATTCTACTGTAATGTAATGAAATAAGCTTCACTTTAATCACAATTTATTTTGTAATACCTAAAACATATTATTACTCTATTAATACAAAGATGGAATACACTTACCTGTACACGCTGGCCTGTGAAATATGCATCATATTTAGCTTCGACAGCAAAGCTAAAAGAAAAAGGAGAATAATTCTTAGAATACTGTACAGGATAAAATATGACTAACAACAAAGTACTGTACAGGGTACTCAATAATAAAGCTAGAAGAGCAATAACTGAAGAAGAGTTCTCATTACTATAATACTAATTTTATAATACACCTGTAATATACAGTACTATTAAATGTACACAATATGGTAATACTGGATGATACAGTTGTGTACAGTGACCAGCATAACTTCTAGAAATTTTTCGGTGCTGCTATGGCGTGCGGTCTACGAAGATATCTTTATTCTAAACTAATCTTATCTAACTTAACCTAACCTTGCCTTACTTGACCTAATGTAACCTAACTTAACCTGACCTGACTTAATGTAACTAACCTGACCTAAATATTTTGTAGACCGCACGCTATAGTAGCATTTTTATATAAAGTATCAGATAAAAACTTTCTTACCTCATGAAATGCTCACCAAAACGGGAAGAAATAAGTTTTCACTATCATTTGAACTATTTTTCTGTCTCTAACACATAGCCACATCCTACAGCATAATAGCCTCACTGTTTAAATCCAAAATGCTTTGTTTCATCCACAAGAACGATTGTACAGAGAAACGACTTATCAACTGCTGCTTCATTACTGTAGTGTACAGTATATGATTTATCACACTGTACTGTACATGAGATTAACAAACCTAACCTTGGTTTACTTTATCACCAATATATGTAAAATTATTTGGTAATTTTAGGAAGCGTTCCCGTGGATGGAATGGCAAATCTTGGATGCAAACGAAGGATATGGTGTCCAGTATGCAGGTGTAGGATAATGTATGGGGCGGAAAAATACCAAAATATACCTTTACTTCGCAAAGCTTATTCCTTCCTATTCTGAGGAAATTTTTCATTAGGTAAGAAAGCATTTATCTTTAACAAAACTTAAAGGTAATGTAGGAGACGGTTATCACCAGTACGATTTTCTGGAATTGCACCAAAATTTCCGGACACTATTTAAGAACATAAGAACGTAAGAAAGTGGGATACTGCAGGAGGCCGACTGGCCCATACAGGGCAGATCCCTTTCACACCCATCCCAGCACTTCCATGTGCCTATCCAACTTCGTCTTGAAGCTCCCTAGCGTCCCCGATCCTACTATAGCACTCGGTAGCCTATTCCACATATCCACAACTCTATTACCAAACCAGTGCTTGCCTATATCCTTTCTGAATCGGAATTTATCTAATTTAAAGCCATTTGTTCTAGTTATTTCGTTATTACTGAGCTTCAGAACATCTTCCATTTACCCTTGTTAATCCCACTTACCCACTTGTACACCTCTATCATATCTCCCCTAACTCTACGCCTCTCTAATGAATGTAAGCCTAAGCTTTTCAGTCTTTCTTCATATGGAAGGTTTCTAATATTATGGATCATTTTTGTCATTCTTCTTTGTACTCTCTCCAAAGAATCTATGTCCATTCTATAATAAGGACACCAGAACTGAACCGCATAATCCATGTGTGGCCTCACTAATGCTAGGTAAAGTTTCAAGATAACGTCAGCAGTTCTGTTACTCACAGACCTAGATATGAACCCAAGAATCCTGTTTGCCTTGTTGCGAACGCTAATACATTGTTTTCTAGGTTTCAAGTCGTTGCCAACAAATACACCTAGATCTTTTTCACAATCTGATGCAAATTTACCCAACTTTGTGTTTACCATTAGTTATCTCTTGTCAATAGGAACAACTTTTTCTAATATCACTTCCATCGCAAATGGATATTAACCAAGAAAGTAAATTCACGTAAATCTTAAGTCACTGCGGGTAGTCTGTTTACAGCTGACCTGTTCGGCCTGAGATGTACTCTCACGTCCACAAAAACACATAAAATTACAACATGATGCTTCAAAAAAGCTGTTTTCATTGGTACCAGATATAAAAATATGTATTATCTGTTTAACATGGCGGGGAGGCTAGGAAGTTAGGTAAGGTTAGGTAGGTTAGGCCAGGTTGTATGGTGGCAAGTCCAAAACGACTCATTTTCGACGATAATGAAGGTCAAATTCGAGTGAATCACACCAAATACCAAAGAAAATAACAAAAATTGTGGTCGAATAGTAGTTGAGGCTGAGACTGTAACCTTAACTAATAAAGGGTCTCACGTGGCCTTTTAAAATGCATTCCCCAGGGTTGGGTCTTATTAATTTTATTTGTTTTCCATCAACTCAATTAATACACTTTCATATTAGTAAAATAATCAAAGGCAAATCACACTTACTTTGACTTTAAAAGAGCTTTAGATGCCATGTCAAGATACTTCACATCACGATGTTTACGACAACATGCAGCTACTGCTGTTGTGTAGTAGATATAAAAATATAAATAACAGTAAAATTCAATAATTAATAAAAACAAAATATAATTAAATTACTTATACCTAAATATAAATATTACTAACTATAATTTAATTTATTAAATGTAATATAATAAAATCACATCTCTACTACATAATACGTATCAAAAGTCAATACAAACCTACTGCACTACGAACATATATTTTATTACTGTTGTTATTTTTAACTTTCTTCTCTGAAATAATTTTGGAGCCAAATTAATTTAAATTTATAGATAAAAATACATTAAAATCTTTAATATATTAAAATTACTGAAATATATATCATGTAAGCTGCTGATACACCTACGGGGTAAGGAGTAGCAATTAGGAAAGAGACAAACTGGTCGCGTTTTTTTTTTATGTAATTCATTTCCCAGAATTATTAAGTACTACTCTCTAGATATTAGCTGTTCTCAATATAAGACTTTCAAAGATGGTGCAAATCATCACAGCGTGACTACAATCTGGCACCCAGATGTTATACATATGCAACAGGTAGTGAGGAACTCGGGTGTCTGATTCTCGAACCAGTGAAAGATGCAATGGACGAGTTGACAGTTCTGGGTAAACACAAGAAATACACTCTGCCACGTTCGTAGAGTGATACGGTATATATAATTTGTAATAAAAGTTTAAAGTCCTGCTATAATAGCAGAGATACTTTTCTCTATAAACAGGGCCGCCATTTGCAATGACGTCACCAGTTTCCCAGCAGACGAAGCTCTCTCTCAAACTCATATGAGCGATTGGCGTTGGGTGTGAATGGGACTGCCCAGTATGGGCCAATAGGCCTGCTGCAGTTTCCTCCATTCTTAAGTTCTTATGGACATAAAAAACTCCCATGTTCACACCAGCTCAGCTATCATGTATTCTTACCTGGTAGACTTTCTCTTTTTTCCAGTGCATTTACAGAGTTTTCGAATCGGTGGACGAGGGGCACAATTATGATGTGGTATATCTCGACTTTAGCAAAGCCTTCGACAGAGTCCCCCACGAAAGACTAATTAGAAAGGTAGAAGCTCATGGCATCAAAGGTGACATCCTTAAATGGATTAGGGCGTGGTTACAGGACAAGAAACAGCGAGTGAGCATTAACCGCACTAAGTCCCATTGGAACAACGTCACAAGTGGAGTTCCCCAAGGCTCAGTACTTGGACCATTATTATTTATTATATACATAAACGACATAGATATCGGCATTGACAGCAACATAAGTAAATTTGCTGATGACACTAAAATAGGACGTGTTATCAAATCTGACGAGGACTCTGCAAAACTACAGGAAGATCTAAACAAATTTTTCGAATGGTCTGGAAAATGGAAGATGAAATTCAACGTCGACAAATGTAAAGTACTTAGTATAGGAGATGTAAACAGGGAAACCAGATACCAGATGAACAACGATGCCATAGAGAAATCCGACTGCGAGAGAGATTTAGGAGTAATGATAAGTAGGAACCTTAAGCCAAGTAAACAATGTGTTTTTGCTCGTAACAAGGCTAATAAAGTACTTGGGTTCATACAAAGGAGTGTTAGTTACAAGACTAGCGAGGTCATCCTAAAACTGTATCTTGCTCTTGTGAGACCACACCTGGATTACGCAGTTCAGTTCTGGTCACCGTATTACAGAATGGATATAGAATCCTTGGAAAGAATTCAGAGGAGAATGACAAGACTAATCCCGGGCATTAGGAACCTTGAGTATAGAGACAGGTTAAAGCATCTTAATTTGCACTCCCTTGAGAGACGTAGAGCGAGGGGCGACCTGATAGAGGTGTATAAGTGGAAGGCAGGGCTAAACAAAGGGGACATTACAAAGGTACTCAAACTATCCAACCAGGAGCGAACTCGTAACAATGGTTTTAAATTAGACAAATTTAGATTTAGGCGTGAAATAAGCAAACACTGGTTTGGAAACAGAGTAGTGGATGAATGGAACAAGTTACCAAATATCATCATTAACTCGAATACGCTGAATTGCTTCAAACATAGGTTGGATGCTCATATGAGCAATAGGGGTTGGGTGTAAACGGGACTGCCCAGTATGGGCCAATAGGCCCGCTGCAGTTTCCTCCATTCTTATGTTCTTAATGTAAGTATTAGTATTTCTACCTAAGCTGGCCCCTCGTCTGTAGCTACAAATAATTGATTGGTTCCCCTGAGCGTTTTACTTCTCCCAGGACTGCGCGTGTATTTATATCGACTTTTTATAATAAATATTAAATTTTTTCTAACATCCTCTCTGAAGTGCTAATACCTTGAAATAATTTGCCTTTTGATAATCCATGTATTTAACATTATTTTAGATAATTACAAGTCTGCTTACCAATCGTGAACACATTTAATTTGAATTTTCTATGAACCAATCAGCTATTAATATAGAAGAGGGGCGGGGCCTATGGGCCAGGTTAGTGTGGAAAGGATATATAGATGGAGATACGAGTCAATTTAGAAGTAATGATATTGTCTGGACTTTGTTTTAAAAATGCCTGATGCTAGGTAAACACATTTTTTTTGTTTTGTTTTTGTGTTTTATCACATTCGCCAATTATCAGCTTACAAGCCGTTTGGGCGGTTTATCCAGTGTTAGTGCAGGAGGAAACCTGGGGACCGGGAAACCTGTGGTGTTTGGTAGTGAGGGTCACACTGGATTGTGGGGTACGGGATGTTTGGGTTCACACTCAGGATGGTTGGAGAAAGGAAACTCACAATGTGCTCTCTGTATACATGTTATATTGGATGTACAATGCAGCTTGGTGCTGGGAAGTGGCAGCGTGGTTACAAGCGTGATGTAGAGAGAGCTGGTTGGTGAGGATGCTCAGAGGAGGACAGCTTGTGGGTCGCCATGCTCGCCGGCGGGAGCGAGGGCCGCCGGGCAGCGGCGGAGGAGGAGGTGTAGCTTGCTGCGGCTGTAGCTAGAAGAAGAGAGAGGGCACTACGAGGTCAGGTCTTAAATAGCGGGGGTAGGCGTGGCTTAGTAGTTGACCTCCGTGATGTATGGCGGCGCTGGTTGACCCAGACCACGAGGCATACACTGGGGAATTCGCGGGGTCGGCTACTCAGCGACAAACAGCGTTTGTAGGGGAGAAATCCACTACAGGATAACACCCTTCTCACGTGTGTCCTGCCCGATAAATATATACCCAAGACCAAACCCAGAGCCTCTAGGAATACGAAGGGATCCCTACACATGAACCATGTGGCGGTCTACAAAGTTAAGAAGAAAACCCAGAAATTCAAGGCGTGGGTTGGGTCAAACGATGAGCAGGATAGGAGGATGTATGCAAGAGCCAGAAACCAAGCAAAGATAAAGTGTAGAAGGGCTGAAAAGGAGTTCCAGAGGCTGGTTGCAAGCGAGGTCAAGTCAAACCCAAAGGCGTTTTACCGCTATGCAAAGTCGAAATTAAAAATGCGAGAAGGAGTGTCAGATCTGAGGTTTGAAGATGGTAGTTACACAAATTCTGACCTGGATAAAGCTGAGGCATTGAGCAGCGTTTGAGGACAGACGGTTCGACACAGCACTGACCCACATTGTGTTCACAGAAGAGGGTATTAGAAATAAACTGTCAAAGCTAAAGGTCCATAAGAGTCCTGGACCTGACATGGTGCATCCCAGAGTGCTAAGAGAGTTGTGCAACGAGCTTGCTGAGCCCCTGAAGATCCTGTTTTGTAAATGCCTGGATGAACAAATGGTCCCCAGTGAATGGAAAGTGGCTTATGTGAGTCCTATCTTCAAGAAAGGCGATCGGCACTCCAAGAACAACTATAGACCGGTGAGCCTGACCAGCATAAAATGTAAAGTACTTGAGAGTGTTATCAGAGATGCCACGATGGAACATGTACTACGAAACAACCTTGTAAAGGATTGCCAACTCGGTTTTATGCGGGGGTGCTCCTGCTTAACACAATTGCTCAAGGTATTGGATATTTGGACCCATATTCTGGAACGGGGTGGTAATATCGACAATATATACTTAGATTTTGCCAAGGCTTTCGACAGTGTACCCCACGAAAGGCTGAAAATCAAACTGGAAGGGTACAGAATTCGTGGAAATGCCCGAGCTTGGATAGAAGACTTTCTACATGATCGCAAGCAGTGTGTGGTGATTAATGGCACGAAATCGTCATCTGTACCTGTCACAAGTGGGGTACCACAGGGCAGTGTATTGGGCCCGCTGTTGTTTGTTTGTTTCATAAATGACATGCCTGACGTTGTACACTCCTCCATACAAATGTTTGCCGATGACGCCAAGTTATTTCGGGAAATCAAGAACCATGCGGACTGTGAGGAGCTGCAGAAGGACCTCTGTGAGCTCAAAGAATCTAAGAAATGGGTGATGAGATTCAATGTCACGAAGTGTAAGAGGATGCACCTGGGGTGTACGAACGGTAAGGAGGCGTATCATATGTCCCAACGGGATGAAGAAACTGCACTATTTGAGACTGAATGTGAGAAGGACCTAGGTGTGTATGTTGACAATGAGCTGAAGTTCTCGGGCCATTGCGAGAAGAAGGTAAATCCGGCAAATAAATTATTAGGTTTTATAAGTTATCTAGACGATCCGTCCCTCGTAACGATCTTCAAGAGTGAAGTGCTTCCCCATCTGGAGTACTGTCACCCCGTCTGGTCCCCGAGATATGCTAGGGACTGTCAGTTGGTTGAAAATGTTCAAAGGAGGGCCACCAGACTGGTGCCTGCACTTCGGCACCTCAGCTACCCTGAGAGATTAAAGCGCCTGAACTTGCCTAGCTTATACTACAGACGGGCAAGGGGGGACCTAGTTGAGGTGTATAAGCATCTCAGGGGGCACTACTCAGTCGAGTGTCCTTACTTGGAGCTGGCGGACGCTCGCCCCACAAGGGGTCACAGCTCAATATTGAAGAAGCCGCAGGTCCAGAAAAGTGTGAGGGCAAACTTTTTCGGAGTGAGAGTTGTGAAATCTTGGAACAATCTGCCGGAAAGTGTTGTGACGACACCGAGTGTGAGCTCTTTCAAGACCAGACTTGACCAACACTG